CAGTGCAATATAATAAACGTGATAATCGTCCAAGATCAAGATCAAAATCATCATCACCAAAGTAAAAATAGAAAAATTTATTATTATATTTAAAATTTGAATATTTATTTCTAAAGAACACGTCGTAATCGACCATTATCAAAAGATCGATCACCTCAACAACAAGCAGTTAATGTAGTTCACCGGTAAATAATAATTTAAATTTTATTTTCTAATTTAATTCAATGTTGTTGTTTTTTTTTTTTTTTTTTTTCTTTTAAGATATGCAGAAAGTGACGATCGATCTGATTAAATTCAATTTTGTTTCTTTTGAAATGTGTATACAGGACTAATCAATTTCATCATGTCCCTTTTTTTTTGTTTACTCTTATTAAAAAAAACAAAAAAAGAAATTTTTTTCTTTGCTTATTCTTGTGTATTGTATCAAGTTTGACTAGTCTCTGTTGATTACTCTAGATTAATTATTTGATTTATTTTTTTCTTTCTTACAAAAAAATAAAAAACTAATGGGTCGTAGTCGAGATCGTTCATATTCAAGATCACCTTCACGTTCACGTTCAGGATCACTTTCATCAACAAGTTCAGGTCGAGCTGCGAAAGCACGAAATTGGGTATGTATGTTTGTTTGTTTGTTTTTTTTTTGATTCTGAATAAAATAAACAATTATATGATTTTCTTTTAGAATGGTGAAGGTGGTTATCGTTTACATTTATCTGATTTAGCAATAGGTGTAAGTCGACGTCAAATAGAAAAACTTGTTCGACCTTATGGACCATTAAATGAAGTTTGGGTTGCATCAAATCCACCATGTTTTGCATTTATTAATTTTCGTCATCGAGCTGATGGTGAACGTGCATTAAAAGAACTGGATGGAAAGTAAATATGATACAGTTTTATATTTAATTTATCTATTAAACGCGTTTACGACAATCGGTCGTAATGTTACAATATAAAATCAATCAAAAAGAAAACAAAAATGTTTCCCTAGCATTATGAAGAAAAAATTCAGAAAAATCTCTAACAATTTATTCAAGAACAAAAAAAAATTAAATATGAGTATAAGGATGAATGTTTAATGATCTCTTATAATTGAGCATGAAGTCTTTCATTTTTCTTTATTAAGTCAAAATATAAATCTCAACATTCAATTACTCTTTATCAGCAAACTTATGTCTAAACGGCGTTGTAGATGATTGCAGCACGTGTCTAAAAATTGAGATGTGTGGGAAGTAGAGTCAACCCGTTGAATTCCGATCTGAAGTTTCTCTGTTAACCAAACCCAGGACCGAAAGTTTTGAACTCGATCGATTTTAGTGAAAAGTAAAATAGGAATGACGTTTCCTTCAAACATGCAACCAATTATCACTTTCTTGTATGGAATATAATTTTTTTTTTTAATAGAGTTGTTGGTGGTTCAAGAATTGGTTTAAGTTGGGCTCGTCCAAGAAATTATGGTGGACGACCACTTCATGCATTACTCTATCGTAAATTGAATAGATTTGTTGTTTTGAAAAAAAAAATATATTCTTTTGTTCTCTTTTTTCTAGGTTCACCATCACCTTCACATCGTCGTAGTTATCGAGATTCATATAGTAGTCGTCGTGGTAATGATCGATATAGTAAACGTCATTATTCAAGGTAATTTAGTTATAAAGAAAAAAGAAAAATTAGAAATCTATTTAAAATATGAAATTGGTTCTTTTCTTTATTATGATTAAAATTTAATGAAAGAGAATTCCACAATATATATATACACATAGTGCTCGATATGTTTTATATTCTCTCGATATGTAATTTGATTATATTTCTAGCTGTTGATGATGAATGGTTGAAATGAATGATTTGGTTGGAGCCACATTAGCAGCAGCAGTATTAAGAAAATGAAATCATTTGGCTTTTGTGCTCGAATCTTGTTTTCTTTGTGTATACTTCTCTTTGTATTCTATTTGTGTGCACCTGTATATTCCTTACCTATTGGATGGATCGATCATATTTACTTAGTCGTACTCTTTGGCAGAGAAACAGTAAAGATAAAGGTATGTTATTAGGGCACATACATTTGATTAAAAATGTCGATAAAGGTGAACGAATGAATTTCGCGTGCTGAATATGTATTTTTTTTTTTCGTTGGAGTAAAAAAAAGAAAAATGTTTAAGAAAATACTTTTTAATAGATTATTATTCTTCTTTTCTTTTTGTTTGTTTGTTTTGTTTTTTTTATAGAAGTCGATCGCGTAGTCCAGGTTATCGACGATCAGGTGGTAATTATCAACGACAAAGTTCAAGTTCTCAATCAAGATCAAAATCACGAACACGATCACCATCACCTAGAGGTAGATTTATATTATAATTAAATCATTTAATATAAAATAATATTTTTGTAAAAAGATACTCGTCGCGAAAAACGTCCAAAAACATCGAAACGAGAAGATGAACGTCGTCATCGTTCGGAATCAAAATCATATTCAGAGAGTGATGATCATAGTTCACCATATCAAAAGAATGGGTAAAAGATTTTTCAAATTCTTTTTTTTTGTTTTTGTTTTCTTTGAGTGTATGATTTATTTTCCGTTTGTTATTGAGAAATATTCATCAATAATATGAGATGATATAAGAACTTCAACTTCAAAATATCATGAAAATAAAATCATAATAGATGAATGCTTAATGACGTTATGATGAAGCTCCTATTCATATTCCAGCATTTTTAAAGAATTATTACTGAACTGAGGTGTTTTCATTGTCTATTTAAAAAAAAAACTCATCTCTCTTTATTCATATATCTATTGAAATGTTTTTGTTTTTTGTTTTGACAAAACATTTATTGTCACTATGACTACTCATATCTTTTCATCTAAATACTCAACGCCAAGTAAATAATGTAAATCAGTTTTATTGAAAAATACAAAAATATTTTAGAAAACGAAGTTCACATAGTCCAAGTAGTGAGCGTCACCAAGCAACATCATGAAACGGTTTGAATCATATTGATACAGACAATCATCATGATGAGTATGTAATAAAAAACAAAAAAACAGAAGTTTCGATTATCATTTTTACTTTTTTTTTTTGTTCTTTTTCTTTAGTATTCAAGTGGACGGACAAGATTAATCATATAAGCCGGTGTTATTCAATCAAAATGAAAGACTTCATGTTTTCGATTATTGTTTGCTGTAGTCATTTCGTTTCGAATGTTTTCTTTGTGCCTGAATTGCGTATGACTTAATTTTGTTTTTGTGTTTCATCGTTCATACAAGAAAACGTGTATTTGTTGTTATTATTAAGAAAAAAAAACCATATATTGAAAAGAGATATATGAAAAAAAGAAAGAAATTCATTATTTAACAACATACAAGAAAATATCTTTGTTAATATTTGAGAATGCAAAAATAATAGATGAGAAGGATGATTTTGATTAAATATATTCTTGATTAATTAGAGATAGAGTATTTTCAATTTTGATAACGATTTATAATGCATTGATTATTTATTCGATGAAAGAAACAAAAAAATAACTGATTTAAGAATGAAATAAGATAAACTAATCCCGTAATCAGAGGTTGATCTTTATATAAGATTTTTTGTGGTTATGTCACAAAGATAAACATATCTAATTGATTTAAAAGAAGTTTTTCTATTCAGTGGTGTACTAAGTAAGGATCCCCAGTGAAGTTCATATGTTTTATCTTTTATTTTTGTTTTGATTAACTAATTTTCAAAAGACCACTAGACTCCTTCCCAATCCTGGTAAACTCGATACATTCTCGTTTATATCAACAAATATTTGTATTGAAACGATTTATAAAATATAATTTTTTTCTAAATGTTGAAACTTACAAGAATAAAATGGAACTCTCTTGTTTGTACTTATTCACTAAACTTGATAAATAATTACTACTTCAATAATATATATTAGAAAACTTAGTCTTCTTCCTTGACAACCTGTAACATATTATGATAAAGACTTTTCCTCTCACGACACGTAGTAAATGTTAATGTGAAAGCACTATCATGAAAGTCTTTTTATTTATGACAAATTTAACTCTTTATTGCTGTAAGATATGAATGGCATGCTATAATTATTTATCGCGAAAAGATGAATGGTAAGATAATAAATTCAGTTCTATCGAAAAGCAAAAAAATAGTTGTATAAATCTTCATTCAATAAAAAGAAAACAATACAAAAATATCTGCATTGTTAGACTTAATCTTTTGAAGAGTTTGAATGATGGCGCTAGTTAATATATGATATTTAATCTTAACTTCTGTCTATAGAGACCAAACCATGGAAAAAGAAAAAGCAAATGGTTACTTAAGAGAGAAAAGAAATTCTTTTATTACAAAACAAACCAATATTATGATGTTGATTACTTTTTTGTTCTTTTCTTCGAAGTAAAATAATACTGAATTGACTGTAAAAGAAGAAAAAAAAAAAAGAACAACGTTTATAATATGGAGTATGTATCGTTCGGAAAGGTAACAACAGTAAGCCAAAAAAAGAAAGAAGAAGAAGAAGAAAAAAAAACTGACAAAAAGTTTGGCTTTGTTAAACGAGCGACGACGACAACAATAAAAAAAAAGAAACTGAAACGAAGAGGTGGTCGAGAAAGTGTAAGAGTGAGCTCTTCCATTTCTTTTACTAACTCTCCGATGTCGTTGTTTGTTCCATTTGGTCTGCATCATTAGAAACCTTATTGAAAGAAATTACTTCTATTTCAAGAATCGACGCGCGCCTGCACACAGCACTGAATGATTTTTATATAGTTATGTATGTGCGTGTTTGCTCGGATAGTAATGATAAAATAGAGCAGACAAAATAATAATAATAAAAAAAAACTAAATTACTGACAAGAGAAAAAGCAAAACTGGTACGTACATCATATATTCGATGAAATATTCAACTGAATTGAAGTCTCATTATTCATTTTATTATTTTCATTGAATGAATAAAGAAAAAAACAAACAAATAAATCAATTATTGATTTAATTTTCTAATTTCAGATGGCTGATATACTTTCACTTGAACAGTTAGTTCATCTTTCCTTAGGTGATCCTGAGGCAGGTGCTGTAAATTTCAATGTTTTAAAAACTCTTCTTTTACAAATGCTTAAAGCAATGAATTTATTTAATTATAAACCAACTATGTCTGATCATGATGAACGTACAATTAAAGAAGCTTTATTAGCATCATCATCAACAACAACAAAACCAACAAAACTTCATATTAAATTTGATCATGATGAATCAATAAGTCCAGTTGATGAAAGTGATGATTTAAATAATGAAGTTAAAAAAAAATTACGACGAAAAACTCGTGATCGAAGTTCAGATCGTCTTAATGCATTAGAAGAAAAAGTAACTCGTTTTGAATCCCAATTAAATGCTCTTAATCAAATACCATCAAATTCTGAATTAATTGATCGAGCTAAACAAATATCAAGAAATAAAATTGATGATACTAATTCTTTAAAAACAACAAGTCATCATGGACCTATACTTGAAATTTGGCAATATACACAAATGGAAAAACGTCTTGAATCAGCTGAAAATGGCATAACACGAGTATAATTTAAAAAAAAAATAATACTATTATTATGTAAAATATTTGATTTTATTTTGCATTTAGCTTGCTTCATTACTTCAAGATCTTATATCGGATATGAATGATTTAAAAGAATCTCATGAAACAATAAAACAAACAACAGATGAACTTAAAAAACAACAAGATGATTTAAAAAAAATTATTGATACATTAAATAATGAAAAAAATGATTGGGTAATTATATTTCATTGTATATTACATATTTTATTCATTTTCTCGTTTTTTTTGTATTTTTTTTTCTTTTAGGCTAGAAAATCTGATATTGAAAATTTAGATGAAAAAATTCGTAATTTACAAAATTTACTTGTAAGTTTTCCTGTTTTTTTTTTAAATTTTTATGTAAAAGTCTATGTACATTTGTTTGATTAATAGACATCATTACGAGATCGTCTTGATGAATTATCAAAAACAAATAATAATCTTGTATCCATGCCTGATTTAACAGGTTTTGTTACATGGGATCGGTTAGAAGATGCACTTAAAGGTATTCGAGAATCACTAGAAAGGTCTTCAAACGATGCAGCAGCTGCCTTGGCTTCAGCACGAGACAATCGACGTCCGATACAAGTTGTTGAGCGTCAAAGTCAAACAGTATGTAATCAATTATTCTATTTAAATTTGAATTAAATTTATTTTATTTTTTTCATAGTCAGCTAAGCGAAAGGTAAGAAAACAATAAATTGAATTAGTTTATCATATATGTGTTTGTTTCTTTTTTTTTTTTTTTCTTTAATATTATATAGGATACATCGGGAGGAGGACGACAATCACCATCCAGTGAAAGTATTAGTGTACCATCAGATAATCTTGCAGAACTTTTAGAACAATTAGGAACATTAAATCATCGACATGAACAATTAAAAGCTTTAGTTGAAGCACTTGAAGTAAATAGATATTTACAAAAAACCAAAAAAATAAAGATATACTTTTATGTTTTTAATGGAATTTATATTCTTTTTGTTTTTCTAGCGTAAAAAACTTAATCGTGATGAGTTTGATACATTTAAAAATCAATTTAACAATTTATTTGATCGTCTTGCTGCACTTGAACGTGATTTTGATGATATTTCATCAAAACGAACAGCTGTAAGCGTATTCTATTTGAACATAAAATCCATGTTTTTTTTTTTTGCTTTTCGATTTATAAGTATTTGTGCTTTTGCCGTACATAGGATTCTATGAAAATACTTGAATGATATTTTTGTTTCTCTGTGTTTTTTTACTCAAGTAATCGATTCCATTTAGGAATTTAAATTATTATTCCGCCGAGAAAAAATAATATTGTTTTTTTTTCATATATAAGAAGAGAAATGAAAAAAAAACCACAATCACTTGTTTTTTTTTTGTTACATCTAGTTTAAAAAGAAAAAAAAACAAAATTTAAAATATAATAAATCAAATCGAGTGAATATCATATCGTGAAATCACAGCATAATACGAATTAAATCTGACAACGAATCATGCTGGTCTTCACGATAAGATTATACACCTTTATGATAGTGTGTGTACGTGCCTATGATGATCTAGTAGAAACAAAAAAAGTGAATGTGACTTGTATAAAATGAAGGGAGAGAAAAAAAAATGAGCACACAATATTAGCATGTTAAGCGAGAAAAAGAGAAAGATAGCATACCAATCATGAAGAAAACAGCTTTATCACCATAGTCGTCATTTGGGCTAGTTGAACCAATAATAAATATGACGACAACCCTAGATAAGGAAGGTACACCAGATGGTCTTACATTTCTTAGTTAATGTCAAACATTGACACTTGAGAAATAAATACCCGTTGTATTTCCTGCAACATGAGCATTACATTGTGCTATTATCAATCGACATGTTTCATATTTGTGCTATATTTTTTATCTAAATATGTACGTTTGACTAGTCTAAAATGCTCTTCAGGCAAATGCTGTAAAGTTTTTTATTAAACAGCAAAAAAAAAAAGAAGAAGAAGAGAAAAAAAAAAAGAAAAAAGAGAAAAATTTGCACAACAAACTCGATCAATCAATTTTATTCTTATTAATTAAATAATTTAATGAAAACTAATAATCATTCATAATTTTTCTTATATAGCAGACGTCTAGTCCTCTACCTGTTCGAGAAGTAATCAGAGAAGTTCCTTCACAGGTATTTTATATTTTAAAATATATTTTCATAGTCAAATGAACAAATGATATTTACTATAGCATCGTGCAGATTATTCCGGTGATATATCAGATTTTCGAACAGCATTACAACGATTACGTGAAGATCTTGATCGACTTAAACAACTTGTTCAAGATGTAATAAATAAAGGAAATTTATCTGCTCAAGAAATTGATGTAAGTTTTATATATATATATATATGATTGATGATGTTCGATTAATTAATTCATTATTAGGCATTGAAAAAATTAATTGAACAATTAGATCAAACAAAAGCTGATAAAACTACTGTTAATAATGAACTTGATAAAGTAGGAATTCACAAAAAAAAACGTTTTTTCAAAAATTTTTATTTGTTTTAATTTTAGAAAGCTGATAAACGAGATGTTGATAGTCGTGTTTTGAAAAAAGATTTCAATTCTGCTTGTAATGAATTATCACAAAATTTAAATGATTATATGCAAAAATTTAATGTTCATGTATATTTTCAAACTATCTTTTTTTTTTATTTTTTTATCAAAAAACAGAACAATAATTATAAAACAACTTTTTATTCTTGTAGGATGATACACAACGACAAGATTTAGAAAAAATCAATCATGATATTGATGGAAAACTCGATCGAACAGAACTTGATGCTTTACGTGATTATATAGATAAACAATTGAAAAAATTAAAGAAATTGGCGGTAAGTTTTGCACATGAAGTTTTTTGCATTATTGTCGTCAAATGAAATTTCCTACTCACATAACTAAGTTACATATATTTGTTATTATGTTTATTCCCTTTTGTTTTATTGTTGTCTGTGTTTGTTTTATATTTCGTGATAATCAAGAAAGAGCAGCAGACTCAACCACATGTACATGTTATGTCCGAAGATGAGGCAGCCGGTTTACGAAAACAACTCATTCGTTTTCATTGCATCAGTTGTGATCGTCCTATCGATGTTCAACCGCACCCGTTCGTGTCGTTTGTTATGATTTGATTTCTTTTCAAAATTTAATTATAGTTGTTTTCTATAAAAAAAACAAAAAAAAAGATTTTTTTCTTTATTATTATTTCTAGACAGCAACCCAGTCTTCCCGCAAATCAGGGTATGCGTCCCATCCAGTCACCCCGACCATACACAACTTACGAACTGGACCAAATTCGCCAATTTCAAAAGAGGTTATTTTATTATTGAAAATTATGAATTATGATATAAATGATTTCTATTTGAAAAATTTTAGTCAGCAGTTTAGTAATGATTTTAGCGGCGGTGTAGCAGATGTATATGCAACTGTTCGACAGTGTGGTGGTTCACACACAATGACACTACCATTTAAACGACAAATAAAAATACAGTAAAAATTTAATTTTAAAAAATTCTATTAAAATATTTTTTTTTTCTTTTTCATTTTTTATTTCAAGACCTACAGTACCGGAAGATACACTACTTTCGAGGTAAATTTTACAAAAAAAGAAAAAATAATGAATTTTTATCATAATGATTTCTTTTTTTTAATATAGAAGTGAAGTTGATATAAAAGGACATGATGGTGTTATTTACAAAGGTAGAATTGATGTGAGTAATTTACCAACTGTCGATATGCAGAAAAAAAATTCGGTTGTTTTACTTGCTCCTCCACCGCCGCAAAGAACACGATCGGATTCACATCCGAAGTCTGCTCCTCATCAGATTCATAGTGGATCATTTGTTAATAACGATCAAGAAGCAAATGGTATATCACCGATTATTCCTAATCTTGAACCAGCTTTACCTCGAGAAGAAAATTTCACTTGAATACATATGAAATAAATCATTTAATAAATATTTTATGTTTTTTTCATTTGAACTACGCACAAGAAAAATAAAACATTTCTTGTCCATAGATAATTTACATTTGACTTCTTGTTCGCTTTCTTTTTTTTTGTTCTTTGTCCATTGATCGTCGTATCGGTGGTTGTTTTTTTTTTCTTTTTTTTGTTTTTTTTTTTTTCATATATATGCAATCTTTCGTTTGCTTGTCATACATTTCTTATTTTCGCTTATAATATTTTTTCTCTTGTTCTTTTTTTTTAAACGATTATTCTAATATTGTCTATTGTCGTTTTATTCATACTTGTATTTATGTGATCATGAATCAGTTCTTCTTCTTTTTTTCAATAATGATTAAATTTTATTTACAAATAGGTTTTCATATTGAAGATTTTAATCCAATTTTATTGATACATTTTATTGAGTAGTATTTAATGAAAAAAAAAAAAACAAATAGAACTTCATATTAGAAAAAGTTAATGTAATAAGAGAAATGAGAATCTAAATTCAATAGTTCATAAGATAATGTCGACAAAATATTAATATAATTTCTTTTATCAATTTTATTAAAACATCCATCTAATGATCAACAACTTTTCTCAAATTGTTTCATTAACCCTTTACCCCCCATGGAGGTTCCAGAAGACCCACTGATAAAATAACTTTATTAATACAGTACTACCCTCGCTAGTATGCGAATGGCATAATCTGATCCATCGAATGTTCTGCTCCAAGAGTAGGACGATTTGATTTATCCAGAAATCATGGGGTAGGGAAAGAAAATTGAACTACACTGTAAGAGTTGATTTTTATTCTTTGACCACAATATTGAGTGGACAGAAGGAACATCTATCTCGCGCTATTAGAATAATGGAAAAAAGACGAGAAATAAACCTATAAAAATGAACACCAAAGAATACATGCGTTTTTTAGATGTTTTTTCAAATTAAAGCCAATTTTATTCTTGGCCATTTAATAACCTCTCATCAAATTGAATTCATCATAAATAGAGTTTCGACTTCTCATGAGTCAAGGTATCTAATATATGTATTAACTGTGCTCTTGATTTCGCCCCATAGGTCAATTGGTGGCTACATGGTCAATCATATTTCTTTGTATGTCATATTCGCTGAGTTATCACTAAAATTTTGAAATATATTTTATTTATCAAAGAACTTCTTCATCAATTAATATCACATAGAAATTCCATGAGATCTCTATTGGCTGCGAGTAGAAAGTATTTTACTTAAAAAATTTCAATTTTTTTCATTTTTTCAAAATTTTCGATTTTTTAGACCCTTTATTTCAAAGACGGAGCAATCAAAAGGAACAGTCTTTCTACCAATGGATAGCCCATGAAGTTTACTACAAAAAAGGTGCTTAGCGTTTTTTAACCCGATGCTCCCTTTCTTTTCTGCAGTCGCTCTACAAATGGTCACTCCAGTGACCAAGGGGGGGTAAAGGGTTAAATCATGAATTCCTTGATTTCATGGAGACTTATTCATATTGTTGTTAAATTGTTTTATTATAGCCGTGTTAAGGATGTAATCTTTCTTTAATTTATCAATTACTATACATAAGTTCGGACTGAATATCTACACCTGTACTCACCTGATGAAGATTTATACAACGATAGATTCTCTTGTTCATCAAGATTAATAGTGACAACTTTAAAAGGCTAAGGAAACAATAGTTTCTAGAGTGTGTCCGGTGTGAATCTGAAAATTTTGAACCCAACGAACTCTTATAGAATTTTCATCAACATCGCTCTTTCTGGATGCAGCAATATCTTCATTTAACTAAATCTAAGATTCAATATGGAATATTGAATATTTATTTCGACAATATTTTATGAATATAGATAAAAACCGAAACAATAAACTATAAATCTCGTTTCTTCTAAGTAGTTCTATAATTATCATTTGACGATACGTATATCTGGTACTATATCATCTTGGTTTTGACTAGTCAAATTATGTGAATTATCATAATTAAATGTAGATAAAAGTGAATATTGTTGTTCAATAGTTGATCGTGATAATAAACTATGATTATTTTCATTATTATAATGTATTTCTTTTTTATTAATAACACGAATTAATTGATTAACAGAACGCCATTCTTTAATGATTTGAATATGATAACGAAAACTAACCTTAAAAAGAATTTTATTTTAATTAAAAGATACAAAAAAAAGAAATTCTAAATTTTTACCCAACACCAAACAATATAAATAAAAAATACTGAAAATGGTAAAATAAAATATGATAAACCATCAAAAAATATTTTTGTTATTTGAATTTTTGATATACTCATAATAATTAACCTAAAAGACTAATAAAAAAATAAAATCTTTTGTTTAAGAAAAAAAAAAAAAAAAAGCAACAACAACTCAAACTACATACCAACTAATAATTGTTGTTAAAAAAATAAATAAAATTATATCATTTATTAAATAACGAATATCTGATGGATGTAATGGATTTCTTAAAAACTATTTACAAAACATTAAATTTTTTCATTTATTTTAATATTAATTCTAATACATACATAAAATAATGATTTTGGATATCGTATAACTTCATATTCATGTTGACATATTTCACATTTAGTTGTATTAGATATTTCAAGCCATCGTTCAAGACAATTTTGATGAAGTATACCCATTGTTCCTGAGCATTGACATGGAGCTATTAAGGATTGAAGATCTCCTGTTGAATAACAAATTCGACAAACTTGAAGATTTCCTGTTCTAAAATTTAACATTTATTTCTCGTTTTTTTTTAATTTTTATTTCATGTATACTCATTTTTATCTTGTTCATTTAATGAATTTTCTTCATTATTTATAATTGGTATTGAAGAAAATTCTCCATTATTATCTAATGGTAATGATTCGGTTATAAGTGAAACAAGTTCACTTCGTGTTTTCGTATTTTCATTTGATGGATAATATTTAGATGAAAAGATTTTAAATATCATGATGAATTTTTCTCGATTTCGATATAAACAAAAACGAGATATGAATATCTAGATTTGTATATATAATCAAACGAAATTACCATCACAACTAATATAATTATTTTAATAAACATAAAATATGTCTCGTGTTTATTATCAATCATATCATATAATTGAAAATATCTTTAATCTATGTTGATTTTTTTGAATGTCAAATAAATATTTATTTCATATATTCCTTTTGATCTATTTATTCTATTGGTGAATATTAATATTTCAAACCAATAAGAATAGTTAGATAATGATCAAAATCGACCATCTGTTAGCTATTCTGAATTAAAATAAAAAAAAAAAAAAAAACTTCAAATAAGAAAGATAAAGTCACAGTATGCTTGTCAATCTGTCGAAAATATCTGATTTACAAAAGAGAAGAAGAAACGAAAAAAAAACTATCAATCAATTCGTATATACCTTTTGACAAATTAGTTTATGTTTATTTTTCGATTTGTTCTATTCACAGTTTCATAATAATCAAAGTAAATAATTCAATAAATAACAAATGAACATTATTCAGAAGATAAACAAAATTAAAAAAAGGAAAGGAAGATTCCACTATGTATTCTATCTTGATTGATCTAATCATGTTTTCTACCTGTATAATTCTTCTATTTTCATGCTTGTACAAAGATAACCAAGAAAAACAGGCAAACTTATGACACAAAACAAACTTGTTTCTGTCACTTATCAATATGTAGGATTTTGAGAAAGGTGATCATCGATACAAAACGCATTTTGAAGTTCATTAAATGTCATATCGGCTCTCATTTTTAGGCGTTTTCTGATTTCGGAAGGAAAGAGGCGGTCGCTGCCAATCCACCACTGCTTATCAATATACAAAAAGGTAATTTCAATGAGATCTTTTAGTGCATATTATTGCAAAGAATATGTTTTCAAGTCACAATTCAAAATAGATTAAACAAATCTTCTTTCAACTTTAAATGATCTACATAGATAAACAGATATTGACATATACAATTATCAATCACTTTTATTTTTATTTCAATCGAAAGGACATTAAAAGATTTCGTACAAGTGATAACACAGAAAAACGTTATTAAGGAAGTATACTATAAAAAAAAAATCATCTATTCGTTGATTCATATTTCCATCGTTTGATGCAATCGCAACGTAGATCAATATCTTTTCACACTATATGAACGCGTGTATGAGTAGCACTTGGAAGTGATCAGTCGGTTAAATCAACAGAGTACTAGAAGAAGATGATGATGATGATGTACAGACATAAACAACAGTTGTCGTTTGACACATTGTCTATATATCACTCAAATACATGATTAGACAAGATTGAAACATAGGTGTAAGGAATCTTAAAAAGAAAAAGACAAGCTGTCACCAAGGCAAACATAAATGTTCAAATACTTGATCTATCATTTTTTGTGATCTATTCCGAGATGGAGAGAATAACTATCAAAATGCATCATCTCACATGCGACAGTTAATAAAAACAAAAAAAAACAAGCGGTAACAGTTGGATCAAGTTAGTCATATATATATACATGTACATCTACTCAATGTTTCTTTCATTTAGAGAATATGCTCACGCAAAGAATAAGAGTAAGTAAAAAATAATAGATTTTCCTTTTTTTTTTTTAAACCAAGTAAATTAATAAAACATTTTAACACTAGTTTGATTTATATATGTATATATATAATTCTTCATTTCCGTCTAAAGCTTTTCTCGAAAGGCGTAGCTTTTCTTTTTCTAGTTATCACAATTAGCATTGCATGTATAAAATTCAGATTCGTTTTTTCTTTTTCTTCTTCTTGTGTGTGTGTGTGTGTGTGTTCGTTTCCTCACTCTCGACATGAATCAATCATTCAAGGGGGAGTATAATACTGTGTTAATGATACGTTGGACATTTGAGAGAGAGAGAAACAAAAAAAAATGAGACAGCACAGCATTACTAATGAGAGAACGGGAGAAAAATCTAACGTTCGAACGGA